CGGATATAGGGAAGCACTCGCAAAATGCCAGTGTCCTCTACGATGAACACGATCGTCCCAAACGGAGAAAAGTCGATCGATCGGCCGTATGGCCCCAGCAACAGTGCAGGCTGTCGACGCTGGTGTAGCCATTCGCGGAGGTAGAGTCGTGTACTGAGGCTGGAGGCTCGTGGTCGGGTCAGAACGTACAGGATGCGCGGTCCGGGCGCATCATCCCAGTAAGCGACATAGAAGGGCTGGAGTTGGAAGCACGAGCGAAATCCTGCGTGAGGTAACCAGAGGTATAGGTACTGCCCCGGCCGGATGTGCCAATGGGGGGACACTGTAATGTCCATGCGAAGCACATCATGAAAGGGACGTATGGTTACGGCGGGCCGTCCAGCACTCCAACGTTGTTGGACGAAAAACTGCATGAGAGACGGCAACGAAACTCAGCAAGATCCATAGGGCCCCAGCACCAACCACTTGCCAGCGGGATTCTGGTCCTTGGTTCCACCTATGATACCCCAGGGCCAACCATTGCTGTGATCGCCAGAAGGTAGTGGATTTTCATGGCGATTTGGCAGTGCCGTCGGACAACCACATGCAAGGTCACGGGGATCATCATCAAAATGGCAGCAGCTGCCTAACCCTGGTTAGTGGAATCGCTCTCGGGTCACAGTACTAATCATCAAGGGGCGGCGTGGTGACTGACCAGCAAGGTAACCCAGTCATGCCTCAGCGAGGGGACTGGGTTGTCCGCTCTGGCGATGGCAATGGCTCCATGAAGCAGGGAATGGGCGGCCATCACCCGCGCAAACCAGCGATGCCACCACGCAAAAGCAGAGCGGCTGATTCCGAGCAGATGGGCCGGGAGGCCAAAGGTGAGGCCCGTACCGAGCGGCAATAGGTTCAGGACGGCGAGCTTCGCCGCACGTTGCTGGACGTCGGCCCAGCCATGGGCGGACACGAGTAGGAGGACAATGTTGGCGCCCAAGAGCACCCCAACCAAGATCGCCTCGAGAGCGGTGGCGATGTCAATAGTCCGGACGGGCCACGGCAACTCATGGCCGATGCGCTGCCCAAGGGAGACCGCAATCGGGCGTTGAATAGACCATCGACCAAGCTGGTGCGCCAACCGCGTGAGAAGCCAGGCGCCCAGCAGGGCAGCAACCCATATCCCGTACCACTCAACGGATTGTATTTGGCTGACCTGTTCATACAGGTCTGAGAGGGCTGGAGGCATTGTCTCTGACGGAGCGGAAGTTGGATCTGGCAGATGGGAGATGGAAGATGGGAGATGTTGGCTTATAAGCATTTTCACGGCGTCGGCCTTGGGCCACCAGTACACCCAGATGCTACATACATTCAATCTTTATGGTTGACCTCCGCTGCCCTCCTGTTGTAGTTGGAGATGGTGAGATGGTCAAATATATGGCCGGCATGTGCATTTGCCGGTGTAACCACGAGGTCAAGTCCGGAAAACGCTGGGTCCTATTAGCCCTTCTAATCCCATGCCCAGGCATCAGAAATATGAGGTGCATGGAAGATAGTCTATAGGAGCAGTAAATGGGTATTTAGCGAGCTTCTGCTTCTATCCGACAGGTTTAGGTTTTGACGGCCTTTTCACCATGGTGGCTTATAGAAAATCACCACTTCATCTTACCCTAGTTCTACATTATGCTGACAAAGGTTGAATGATGTGAAATTGGGATTGTGTCCGACCGCTACGTATGCCGTTCTATAGTACAGAAGCATCGCTTGAACTCGAATGAGCTGTGGGAGCAAGCCAGTAATTCTACAGACCCTTGTACGGAAAACTTCAGACACTCCACTGCGGAGCACATATACCAAATGCAAACAAGCTGAAGAAAATAACTAAAGCCTCCTCGAAGTACGTGCGGTTATGCGTCCAGGAATAGACAATTTGCTGTAACAAGAGTCCAAAGGCAAGACTCCAGCCGGCTGATCACACAGAATATTTCCACGGGATCCAATTCAGCGACACAGTATTAGGAGCGCCTGCTCCCATTAAACCTGTCCTGTGCGACGAGATGATTTTGCATGTGTGGCAACTAAGTATGAAGCAAACGTCCCCGAGCTTTTCACTGCGGCTCTATTCCTTCATTGACATATTACAGTAATATTAGGTACAATATGATCTTGGGACCGT